GACCTCCTCTCCAACAGCATCCGCCAGCGCTCACCTTGCGCCAACGACTTCGCCTTCCCCCGCCAACGTTTCCTCGCCTGCGCTTCGTGACATCTATCGTTTGTGTACTTTTCAACTTTGAAGGAACTCATTGATCGAAAAAGGCGGCTAGAACTTCCTTTTTTTGCGCGCAATTTTCTAGCTAAAATAATGTAATTCTCGCTTTTCGAGCAGAACTTGACCCACGACCGTCTTAACAAATTAAGTGCTTCTCCCTCAAAATACAAAGAACGCTGGGTTGTTGTACCGTCCAGTAAACTATTATATGAAGGGTTCGTGCAATGGTGAACTCTAGAGAACCTTGGAATAAACACGACGATTCTTCGTGAGGCCACAATTCTATAGCTGTCAAACAATTTCGAGTCATTCAATGTTGTTTAAAACAGTGATTATGCGATCGAATGCGATTTAGTGAAAGAATGTGAGCGAGATATCAGCTATTAATTTCTCAGTTGCGAATAACGTACCGTTTAAAAATACCATACAACTTGTCATCAACAATCTACTCGTTAAGCTCCGTGCGCGCAGGCTTAGCGAACGACAATTTCCACGGCTGAAGACCACATCTACCTATCTGATATATCAACAACAGCAACAATTGTCACTTTTTTCAAAGAAAAGACCAACAATCTGACCAGTGGCCAGTCTCTTGACGATCTGATTATGAATATAAATTGCCAGAATATGACCAGTTTGCCGCTTCAAATAATACGAACTTTCACTTTCGACTAAATCATGATAATCATTTTTCCCCAATTTTTGGCCACATCAATCGTGAAAAGTTATTTCTTTCAGTATTGACTGGCCTTACTCATTAATTTGTTGACGTTGGCTTCAGTGTACAGCTGTCGACACCTGAATTCGGTGTCGAGCGGCTAGTATCATGGCGATTAACCCAAACGTCAGCTCGAATTCTCGTACTCTTCTTGCCCGAGTACCACATCGACAATCAGATCATGAAAAAAAGAACGGTATCTTGTGATGATCTCGTTTATTCCGACCTTTTTTTGGACAATGTTGCTAGGTTTGACACTTTGAGCTCTGAAACTTTTGTCAAACTTTTAAATAGGATTTACAAGTCTCAAATATCGTTACTATCGTGTTCATATCCATGGACACGTACACTGGTAAGCTCGATGGTGGTGGTTGTGTCCTGCTGTTCGCTCCAAACCTGCCAGAATATATCTTGGTTCACAACAATGCCAATGATTACTGGGCTGTTCAACACATTGCAAATGTAGCAGTAACGGTTCGCAATCGATTAACCAGAGAAGCTACATCTGCAAAAAGCATTTTACGCTGGACGCTTACAGCCATACTTTGCGTCCAATATTTACATACTGATCTTTGATCTGGTGTTAGCGCATCCTAATCGGTCCTACTCTCAGCATGACGCTAAATTTACCCTACAACTTTCTCCCAGTGAGCAGCTGCTCGCAAAATTGGGTTCAGGAGTAAGCTAGCAAATCCTTATCGAATGCTATAAAAGATCGTTAAATCGAATGGACATGAGCCGAATGAAAACGAGCCAAACACGAGATTGAGCCGCGCTCGAAAGCGTATCAAGCTGAGCCGACGTGCCGACAGCAAATTCCCTTGCGTTAAGCAATTTCTGGACAAAAGCCTGAATGACCATTCGCTCCAGCAAATGAAGACGATGCAAAAAGCTGAGAAGCCCCCTCCGTTCGTCCATAATGAGCCTTCACTACTCGCGAGCGCTGCAGGTGACATCGTTGTGTGGTCTACTGCATTCCCGATCACTATGGTCAAATGACCGGAATCATTATACGAAGGATGAAGCAAAATGTTCGGATGTACCGCCTATGCTTTATTGGTTGTCCCTACGGTCAAAATTTATTAAGTTATGTTCCAGCATTGGCTGCTTGATCTTTTGATGAGGCGTTCCCAGCTCATTTAGACTGAGCCGACCAAAATTTATTTATAGTCTGTCATGCCTCATTGAAAAGCATCATTTTATTGTTGCTGAGTCAGGCGTGGAGTGTCAGAACTATAATACATTCCCCAACCACATCAATTGTTTAATCAACATATAAAGCAGTCACCAATGAACTTACCTCATTGACTATTCAGTACCGACTTTCATCCCAATGTTGGCTTTGCTAAATGAGTGTTCCTTGGTTTCACCACTGAGCGAAGACACTCCAAGACGCTGGCTGCGATAAAATCGATACTTTCATCGACTTGTTCTCCACCTCTCGTACTGGACGAAGCAAATAAACATATTTCCTGGCCATAAAAGACGTATCGCGCGATGTGATTGTATACAATTAGTGTTAATGATACAATTGGTATGAGGCCTGATTCACAGTGAGGCGAACCAGCGCTTGTCAACATGATTGATGATGATTGCTGCTATTGCTGAAGCTTGAAATAGTGTATCCATTGCTCATGAATATGGAAAGTATTGAACAATGCCCGTCGCTTCTCGATGTTTCAGTTACATTGGCTCTGATAGCTGGGTCAACCTATTGCTTGCCACCTTGATATTTGAAGCTTCTTTTTCTCACCTTATAATGTAGAGATTGTCTCAGGATGGGCACCACATTTTTTACTGAATTCTTTGATAACCAATTAAGAAATCTTTAGATTGTGCGTCCGACACCACTTAAGATGCAGCGGTCATTTTTATCAAGATGATCGTTCCGATAGGGAGTCGGATCATGTAAGCGCTCATTATAAAACACACTTGCAAGCTGCTCACTGATCGCAAATGTAGACTGATATGTCTTTGGCGCTGAGGAAATACCAATCATTGGGATGCTCCGTTTTGAAGCAATTCTTCAGCTAGAATTTGCTTCATTGATTGTTCATCCAAGGAAATTCGATGCTCTAATTCAATGGTGCAGAAAAGGGTACGTACGGTAAATGTTCAAGCTCCAAGGCACCTCTATAAAATCCATTATCAAATGGGCTGTGTATCATCCACCGCTCGATCCGAAGTGCCTGAGGTGCAGCAGGTCGTACCCACCAAAGGAGACTTTTGTGCCAAATCCATTACTACACTCCGCCTGCGTGACCACTTCTGGGACTTTTCAAACGATGAAGACTTTGTTATTTGCGACGCTGAATGGAATGAAGAAGTCTTTCGTATTCGAGGCACGACGTCTACTATGAAGACGTTAAGAGACCCTCTGCGCACGCCACTTGTACACATAAAGCGCGATCTTATAGCATCTGAACCCACTTATAATGTGTTTGATGCCAGGCCATCAGCGACTAAGTTGTTCTGCATCAAGGCACTGCCTGAACTCAAATTGGAATTTCAAAACCCAACCACAGGCAAGAAGTGTCGAATCGGCCTCACTGGAAATTGGGCCAAGCGTGAAGCTTCGTTCTGGATGGTACAAGGAAGCAAAGGATCGCGCACAACCATTGGTCGTGTCTTCCGACCAGCCGGCAGTCGCAGCTCGGCTGCCACTACGCGCGACTCATTTAGTTCCAATATCAAGCCGAACGAAGAATATCTTTTGGCAATCACAGTAGGGATTGACATGACGCTCATGGTGCTGGTCTGCATTGCTTTAGAGCAAGCATATAGTGATACTTGGTGATTGCACATTCAGCCAGTCGATTGAGTTCAAAATATCGTATGTTGGATGGTAGTACACTCGAGCGAGAATTTCATAGCGAAGGAGAGAGTAACTGCAATAAGATTTCTACAGAAGTCTTTGCTGAAACATTTTGTAATACGATAAGCTATAATGTCTAATGTGCAGCTGCATCGTGTACGATTGTTCGTAGTTTCTCATTGTGCGGGTAGCGCTTCTCTAAATCATTTGTAGCGTACATATTACTCACTTTGTCGAATTGTTCCAGTCGAAAATAGCTCATGAGGAGCCGCTCATAAAAATCGTCACGAAGCTTCCTACGGTTCGCTTTCGAAAGTTTTCTCAAAAGTTTTTCACCAATGCGAGCATTGGCTTCAAACCGCCCACGGGCCTCATTCATGCCCATAATTTTGACGATTGTGACGATCGGTAATTGAGCTACGTGTCGATCAAGCAAGAAGTCCACCAAGAATTCGCAATCGTCATCCCACTTATGTTCTAAGCATTCGTCCAACAGTAACAGTACGAGAAAACCTTGTCCACGTAGAACTGAAGAATGCTTTTCCCAAAAGCTTAGCGAGTGCTCAACAGCTGCTCGAGACGACATTCCCTCCTGGCTTACGTTATGCTGAAGCAAGGCTACCACACTCTGCCGTAGAGCTGCTGTACTACCTTTTGAGCAGGTGGCTTCCATTAGATCTAACACTTGCACGATCGATGACATGGCGTGACTGTGTTTAAGCATTTCCCACAACATCATATTAAGCAAATCAGCTTGGACCTCCTTATCAAATGCAGGACTATTAAACGAAAGAGAATCCATATGCAAAACTTCTTTAGCATCAAGATTGCTTACGTTAATCGTATTCTGGTACACAGTCCGCTCATAAAGAAGTGTCTCTGAATTTGAGTACTCTTTTTTGTGCGTTAACCAACGGAAGTGCATCATTTTGGGTGCTGTCGTATCTCTTAGCCGACAGGCGGCACGTAGAGCCTGGCGAAAATGGTATTGGGTCTCCGGTATGCAGTGGTGTGGGTAGCTCTGGAAGACTTCAAGAGCGATATCTGGGCGGTCCATATTCAAGCTCACTTTAATCAGAGCACTCCAAATATCGGGCTTTAGCTTATAGCCACCATTGGAGGCCAGTACATTCGCCAAGTCTAATGCAGCCAGCAACTCTTGTGTTCCACGATTACGATGGCGTAAATTTGCTCGAATTGCCAGTTCATAGCATCCTAATGGAATGACAGCGGCAGGAGACCCGAGAATTATCGCGTCTATTGCTTTACGCGCTAGTTTTCCATTCCTTTCGTTGTAGCACGCATGAAGGAGCACGTGAAGATTGGAAACAGTACCACAAATCCTTTTTAGTTGGTGCTCGTCATTTTCATAGAACTGCACAATTTTTTTAGACAGCTTCAAAGCAGCCAAGGATCGAAGGTAGGAAGAATACACTCCTCGTGATAACTCTGTGACCGTTTCAAACTGTCCTAGCTTGTCCTTGAGACTCAAATCATGTCCATCACTACTCTCGTCATTATTTGTATTTTCATAGGACGCTTCGCGAATTTGATGCTCCTGCAGCCATAGCCTCCGATCTCGGTCATACGCCTCAAAGAATGATACTGCATGCTTGTGGTCATTCATGTAGTTGAAAGCCTCTACCAAGCATCCAACCACAACGGTCTCGCTAGCCACTATTATGTCTGTATCAAGATCATCTATTGTGGAGGAGCCAATAAACATTGCACGTTCATAATGGGTGGTCAAGAGCTGAGCAAATATGTTGGCGGGTACAATTTGCAGAATTCGAAGATGTTTATTGGCTACGTCTTCTGCTGTTGCCAGTCTCACTTGATAAGGCCCTTTCTTGCTAACAATGAAAGGGCGGCACTGCGAGATAATTTGCCAGGCATCCATTAGGTGCGTGGATGTAAGTCTATGTTTGCTATCCAGCACAAAGCGGCCAAAAGCACGATATACGGACCTGCAATTTGCTAAATTTAAGCTTCGCCGGAACGTTGGGATAGTAACATCAGTAGGCACTTTCGGTCTCAACTTGTCTTTCGCAGCCAAACGAGTGACTGACACTGGTGTGTTTTCTGTCTTCGGTTGCTGCTGTTCAGAGCTAATAGATGTTTTTGCGTCCGAGTTCGCGCTTAAGCCGTGACGTAACCATGATATCAGATCCGAGGCTTGATTCCATATCAGCCGCTGAGACTGGCTCGGAGGATGCGTGCGAATCGATCTCGCGCGCAGCATCTAAATTGCTGTTGGAAATATTATGGTAAATTGTGTCGATGAATTATGATGTGATTCTCTGAAAATTAATATGCGCTGCTTTGATGGAAGCAAAACCAAATCGTGAAACGCTCAATTTAGCAAATAGGGCGCCATATATTGTAATCGATATTAATTTATGAGGTTATCTGCTGTTTCGATAGCAAAAGTGCCAAGTAAATACTATACTAATGGTGTCCAGCGTTTCACTCATTTTGTATTTATTAGACATTTTGAAATACTAACTTTTCCACGATCTCCAACGACGCCGACAGTTCTTCTCTCACCACTACACCCAACCGTGTTTGCTATTTTAAGCATGACCTGCATCAGAAGCCATTTCCGTACGTGCCCACATCGCTCAAAAAGCTATCTCACTGCCTAAGAATTCTAAGATACGCTAGGTATCTCTAAGTATTATAAGACGTGTATGGTCACATCGAGGCGGTATCGCTGCCTTCACCATGAGTCAAGCGTTTAAACAGTCTCTCATCGAGTTCTCCAGGGTTGTTTTACGCCCCGCCTCACCTTCACACGAGTTGCGAATTGCGTGCACGCTCACTACGGCGTCTGAAAGTACGAGATCTTTCTGCCGATATTACGGCGACTTCCAAATCGTTACGAATTAGCTGGGTCTGACTTGACGAGATGAGCTTGCGCATTTGCAAGTGCAGCTGTCAATCACATCGTGATCACCAGTTCATTAAAAATTTCAGCTTCAGTTTCGCGGAGCCATTAGATGCCTCTGGGATCGGGCATTGTTTGAACGGAAAACAGACGCCTCAAGATACCATTCCTCAGGGTCACCAGCTGCGCCTCGTGCATCTTCGGTCGGATAAAATTGTATGCCCTACCTTTAGCAATAAAAGCGCTAGCAAAATGTTGAAACGTGTCGAACTAAATTTTGCGCTGAATAGTTAAGGAACGTCGCCTCACCTGTCTCAAAATTTACAAGACAGCTTCTGTAAAACAATTATAAGCGTCCATGACGTCGGAGAAATCTTGCCGAAGTGGCACCTCAAACTCCCGCGGAGTTCTCGGAGTTTGGATATCCCGCCACTTAACAAGATATTGGGTTAAACCCTGTCGACGACGTCGACCTGCAAGGCGTTTCACGTGGTAGTAGAAGCCACCATTCTCATTGAGAAGAGTCAGCGGCGGATGATGACGACTTGGTCAATCGCCGTATGGTGACTCGCGATGCTCTTTGGGCGTTGGAGGACAAAGTCCGTCGTCATCGGCACTCTGCCGAGCATCTCCCGAAGTCGCCTACTGCTATGCGGAAGACCTTCGAGAGCCAGGAGCACTTTGTGCACCGACTGCCTCACATTGGTGATTATCGTGCTCCGTCGAAGCGGCTCCTAGCCGTCGAGCAGACGTACACGTTACTTCGTGCCACGGTGGGGCGCCTTGTGCCCTTCGTAACGAACGTTGTAGCACTCTGTGCTCAAAACCAGTTGCTGATTCAGCTTCTGGGTGACCGAGCGCCTTTGAGCGCCGCTTCGGCGCCAACGCTTCCGCCGTCACTCGCGCCAGATCCCGGTACGGCCTGAGCAAGCCCACATAAACCACTGGATGGGTGTGCATCCATCTTGGAAGGTCCAGCGTGTACGCTAGGCCTCGCTTAGCCACGACCTTACAAGATCCATTTACCCGTGGACAGAAAGACATCATAAAAGGTTTCCAGCATTTAATAAAAAAGGTCATCGACCACAAAGTTCTTAACATTTCCTCTACCTCTTCCGTCTGCATATTACTTCTGCATTGCCTGGAACGCATCACGAACGAGTCGTAGGACACTCAGTCTGGTAGACAGGAAGTCTCCGAATTCTTTATGAACGGCGAAGATGTGTTCATCAGGTAGCCGTCTGGCTATCCCCCCCACCAAGCCCTGAATCATGGGATGGCATCATCAGCGAGACACAAGGATGAACGAGCCCGCATATAGCCGGCAGATGAATGCACTGCATTGTTCAGAGCAAACTCTTTGAGTGGCAACATAGCGCTCCAGCGTTTCAGCGTCTCAGATCAGACGCTGCGAAAAGCGTATTTAACGACGCTATTCACGCGCTGACTATCTATATATGTCCGCTGATGACATGGTCAGCTTTGAGCCCAGCACCCTGAAGGTTATAGATAAAACCTCCTGGTGAAGCGCGGGTCTATATCAGAGACAATTGACTCCGGGAGTCTATTTTGTCGATAGACACTATCCACAAGCCGACTTCGCTGCGTCCTTCGGCAGGCCAAACACAAAGCACAAACTCATGGACTGCAAATACCCGATAGGTACCGGTAAACTGGCCAGCGGCGCCGCCGCATTTGGAGAGGGTTTAACCCTCTGAAGCGTTTCACACGTGCGCACAAATGTGATAGTCCACTTGTACAGCTTGGGCCACCAAGAGTGACGACTCATTGAGCTGTAAGTCTTCTCGCGACCGAGATGACCACTGAGTGGGGTGTCGTGGGTCTTGTAGAGGAAACGGTACCTCAAATCCGCATCGTGAGGAACCACCATTCGTGTCGTATCCGTTAAAATGGTGCTAAAATACAGCAACCCGTTACTCAACAAATATCAGGTGTAACCGTGCGCGCAAACGCACCGACAATTTCTTGTCCGAGTTTTCAAACTTCTTGCTCCTGAGAGCCTGTAAAAGCATTTCACACATACTATCATCAGCGTATGTGGCGCGGATCAAATACGTCTTTGACGACGTCACCGAGCAAGCTCATAGTTCGGTCTGCGTAACAACGTATCAACCAAAGCATTTTGGTCTCCTCGCTTATACTTTACCTCGAAGTTGTATCCTGCAAGGAATGAGAGCTACCTGGCCATATTCTGTGAATGGTGCGGCAACTGAGTCGCAGTACGAAGTGACGCATGATCGGTGAAGATCACAAACGACTTTGAGCCAAGCAGATGCACCCTGACCTTGACAAATGCTAACTTCATCGCATGTAATTCCTGTTTGTGGACTGGGTAGATCCTCTCCGCAGCCTTAAGCTGGCGAGATTCGAACGCGATCACCCGATCTTACCCCTCGACGTCTACTTGCAGCAGTGCACAGCCGAAGACAAAGGCCGAAGCGTCACAGACGACACTAAAAGGTCGATCAGGGTCTGGCAACGTCAGTATTGGTGGATGAAGGAGGCTGTCTTTGACCCTGTCAATAGGCTTCCGATGCTCGGTGTTCTAATACCATTCCGTGTCCTTCTTAATGAGATTCGACAATGGCCGTGCCATTTCCGAATGTTTGCGCGATGTTTGTGCAAGTAGTTGGCAAGTCCAAGCCACTTGCGCAACCGGTCAGTCCACAATGGCCTTGACTAAAGCGCTTGAAGGCCACGCTTCCCAATGAAGCACACTAAAAAAGGAAATTCCTCGGCGCCGAAGATGCATTTATAAGCATTAACATTCAGCTTATTCGTGCGCATGCACTAGAGCACTGCTCGCAATTCGACGATGTGATTCTTTTCATCCGATCTATTGTGCTCCGCACGACTGTGGACGAAGATGTTGTCAAAGCATGCCTGTGCATACACGCGGTGGGACCTAAACAATTGCGTCACAAGACGATTAAATATTGCTGAACCATTTGACAGCCCTTGGACTTCACTAGCTACTCCCAGAGCATGCCGCTCGGAGTACTCACCGTCACCAGCGGAATATCACTCGCTCTCATTAACAATTGGTAATAACCATCGACTAAGTCGAGTGCACTGTACTTTTTACATCCAACCATGTTGTTCCGAAGACCATCCTTTCAAGGAATTGGCGTTTGTGCCGGAATGGCGGCAGCATTTAGCTTATTATAAGCGTGAACAATACGCCCCTTGCTGTTCGGTTTCCAAACACAAAATGTGGGTGTCGAATGGGGAGACTTGCTCTCACGAACAATTTTGCCTCATGTTTCGCACGGAAATGGCGTCAACGACGTCGCACTGCTCCTTGGGCAGGGGCCATTGGCATCTTATGCAGTATTTAGTTTCCGTAACCAGGTCGATTTCATGACGCACACCTCGATCTGGAGGTAGGACCATCCTCGGGGCTTTGGAGACAACGCCTTAAATTTTTTTTACCAAAGGATAGCTTGGATCCGAAGGATCCTTCAGGATTGATGATCCACTTCGTGCGTCAGTACCCTCTTCATCTCTGGGACCGCTTCATCTAGACAAGTTAATCACCTCTACCGGTCGTATAATGACCACTTCGGCTAAGTCGCCTGCCTTCAAAGCACTCGTTGGTGCTTTGAAGGAAACCTCGTCCAACGCAAGAAGAGCATCCAATCACCTCGAGAGTAACGTCGCCGTCTTCCTCCCCCGTCATACCGTTGACGAGGGTGTATACCTGTGCGCTATCTCCACGGTTGACACACCCTGGGTTAGGGTCGACGTCCGGCGTCTTGCAGATAGCATACGCCGTTGCTGTTGCCTCTTCACAGAAGTTCTACGTCCCGGCAAGACTAGTGTGAAGTCGCACTCAGTGTCGTCCGGTGTTAGCCCCACTTCCTGCTCCACCGATGTACTGATGTTATTATCAACATCCGACGAAGATCTGCTATCTTCGTAGTCTTCGTCCATTGGATAACGTGCCACTCCACGCGCCTTTGAAGGGCCTTGCCCATGATGCCTCGGACCTCGTCAGACCTTGCCACTCGTCGCATGTAGCGACTGCTTCCAAACGTGAGCAGTGCTCGGTAAATTACGCGTAACTCTACGGGGCCTCGCCCTTGATGCCTCGGCCCTTGACCGACCGTATCAAGCATGCTATGAGCGATCGCTCCGATACTGTAGCAGCGCTTGGTGGGCTACATGCCACTCAACATTCAGCCCGCGAGCCACGCTCGGGATTCCAGTCCGATACATCTTCGGTGTTCACCAACTCGGATACTCCGATATCCAGCACGTTGGCCATTTCGGTCTATTGTCCACACCAATAGCGTTTTTGCCTCCTTGTATATTTGGGTTCATGACTCCCCAAA